CCGTGCGCGCCCTCCCCAGCCATGTCGTCCATCCTGCCCTTCACCCCCCCGATCGTGAAGCGCCTGCTGGGCTGGAAGAAGGGCGAGCAGAACGGGCAGGAGGAGAAGTGGTGCGAGAAGGCGGTCAAGAGCCTGGTGAAGAAGCTGAAGAAGACCGGGCAGCTGGATGAGCTGGAGAAGGCGATCACCACGCAGAGCGCCAACACCAAGTGCATCACCATCCCCAGGTGGGCGCGCACCCCCAAACCACCTCTGCGTTCTCCCCGATCCGGAGCCCGCGGCGTCCACGCGGCGCGCTGGCTTCCAGATCCCTTTGCTTTTCCATCCCCGGGAAACGGGGTGCCGCGGGGGTCCCCCCGCCCCCGGGCCGCACTCCGAGTTGAGGCCCGCTTTGTTCGGCCTCGGGCCGAGCCCCTCCTCCGCCTCCCGCCCCGCGCGCGGCCCGCGCTCGTGGAGGTGGCCGTGCCCGTCCCTTTCTTTCCTCTTTTCCTCCGGCTCGGTCCCCCACTCTGTCCCCCAGTGGAATGCAGTCGGTACAGCTGGGGCTGTGGGTGAGGAGCGGGAGCCCGGTGATTGACAGATTCCTTCTTCGTTCTTTCTTTGCCTTCGGGATTAGCATTTTTATCGAGTATTTTTAGACTCGGTTGTTCCAGTCCCCCGCCCCCTGTGCACGCACGCACTTTAGTTGCGGCGCCGGATTGCGACTTCCAAGTGAGAGAGACCAGCGGCAGGCTCCCCCCACCCGCCCGGTGTTTACCCTGCTTTTAGCCTAAGAGATTGCGAGTCGATTGAACCGAGGGGGAAGCGCCGGGCAGATAACAAAACCCGCCCGAAGTGGGCCTCGCTCGCTCTGGCCCTCGCATTCCTGCGGAGCCTCCTTCCCAAAGCGCTTTGCCATCTGTCCCGACCTCCTTTATCCTTGCGTCGCGCTAGCGAGGTCGGGTGAGATCACAGATGGCGGGTGGAGGGGTCAGCGACTTCTCTCCGCTCCCGGGGGCCTTCCTTTGCTCAGCTGTGCCTGGCTGGGCATTGGGATGCGGGCACCTTGGTCTCCTGCCTGATGTGCAGCCCCCTTTAAAGTCCGATTGCGAACCAGGGGAGCCTGTGTGAGGGACGGGGTGGGGCGGGTTTTGGGGGTCTCCGGCTGCAGAGGACTGAGAAGATGACTCGCATGGCCTGACCCTGCAGGGACTGTCGCCTTCGCTTCTGGCCCAGGGTTGACTCCATCCTGGGCCACCTGCTGGGACAGCTGTTGGAGGGCTGCCAGCCGTGTGAGGCGGGCACAAAGCAACATCTGTCCCTGGAACCCAGGGCTGCCCTTCCCTGGATATGAATGCCACACATGGTGGGCATACTGACTTTAAAAAGTAGTTTTGCACAAAACTCAGTGGGTCTGGTCAGTAGAGAGGGAAGGTGACACATGCTATTTGGGGACCATACCCTGGGCTTGTGACAGAAACTGGAGTTGACTTGGCTGGGATGGGGTGGTGGTGATGGGACGGCCTGAGTAACCTGGGCTTTGGTCCTGCTCTTGTTCTTTTTGCTTTTTTTTTTTTTTTTTGTGGTACCTGGGATGGAACTCAGGCCCTTATGCTTGCAAGGCAGGCATTGGAACCACTGAGCCAAATCCCCAGCCCTCTTGTTTTTTGAGACAGGTTCTCACTGTGTATATTCTAGGTTGGCCACAGACTCACCATGTAGCCCAGGTTGGCCTTGAACTCGTGGCATTGATCCTCCTGCCTCAGCCTTCCAGGGCTGGGATTACAGGTGTGCGCCACCACACCGGCCCCGCTCTGGTTCTTAATTCTTCTTTTGGTGGAGTGGGGAAGGGTAGGATGAGTAGGCATCGTATTTCTCCACCTTAGGTAGGGTCTGTAAGAACAGCCTGCTCTTAATCCACCTGGGTGCCTGGAGGGCAAGAGCTTTGTGCTTTCAAGCAGGTAGGGGGAGTGGTATCGATTATGAACCACACAGCTGTGGAAAATGTTTCACAATTTGCAAAGCACTTTCACATGGTTTACGAGGTCCTCGAAGAAAGAAGGAAACCAGCCCATGGAAAACAGATAAGGCCGTTAGAATTCAGACAATCTCTTTTTAAACTTGAGCAGACTTGGGAGGGGAGCCGTGGAAAGGCCAGCGTGGTAGGCGTGGTGTCCTGACCGACCTGCTCTTTCTGCTTCCCTGGGCTCACTGGACCATGTGACTCTGCTGGGAAGGTGGCCCTTGCTGAACCTTGGGGCTGGTGACATTGTGGGAGAGGCATTGTGTCCCCTGCCTTGGTAGGCGTTTGCTTGGGGTGGGGGCAGGGCTTTGATCAGCTCCTCTTCCGTAGCATCCCAGTGGCTGAGGCATGTGAATTCTCAGGATGGTTCTGAAGTTCAAGCCAGGCTCCCCAGCCTTCTCATTAGGGCCCCGGGCATCTTTTGCACCTTAGGAAGGGCTTTGTTTTTGGTGCTGGCGATTCAACCCAGGCCTTGCTCACACTAGGCAAGTGCTCCATTACTGAGCTACAGCCCAGCCCTAGGCAGATTTGATCTTTTCACCTTTTCTCAGCTGGAAAGCCTCAGTTGTTGGGTGTGAATCCAGAAAGAATGAGTTTCCATCCTTGGATTTCATGCCCACACCTCTTGGTCACTGTATCTCCCTTGGCAACAGCTGCTGCTGTTTTGATCCTGGGCAAAAAACCAAAGGCCGTGTCTTGGGGAGTTGGCTAGTTGGGCCCCATAGGTTGTGGGGTTGTCACATTGTCTCCTGCCTGGGGCTAGTGCTGCCTTTGAGACCTAGGACTTTGGAGAGGAGACAAATCATCCCTGTGTGTGTGTGTGTGTGTGTGCGCGCGCGTGCGCGCGCATGCACGTGCATGCACACATCAGAACACTCTAAGACCTGCTGTCGGGTGTAGGGAGTCCTCAGTCCAAGGTGGCTATGCCACGCCTGTTTTGCCTAATATATAATTGCGAGCAGCTCCAGCAACATTTGCCGATTACTGCTGTAGTCTCAGGACTTCCACCCTGAGTTGTGGCTTCTTTGTTTCCCCAGCTCTAACCTGTCCGAGCGATCGGGAGAGCGGGAGGGACACAGGCTTACTCACATTAAGCCTGTCAAGGAGATGGGTGCCGGCGAAGTGTTAACATCATGACTTTGACACACGACGAAGGGGATGTCCTCGCGCGCAGGTCCAGGGAAGAGTAGGACTCAGGTCACCTGTGTAGCAGCAGTGGCTCAGTCCCCACCTGTTGAACACCTGAGCAGAGCTGCATGTGTCTTCCTCCCTGTGCAGGAGAGCAGAGAGGCAGCATTTGCTGCCAAGAAATGGAAACAGGTCGGGACCGAGGAATTAAGGGCACTGAAGCGTCCTTTTAGATAGACACGGACGCCTCACGTCCCCGCCAGGTGCATCCGTGCCGTGGTCTCTGACTGGAAGCTGAAGCCAGCCTTGTTTGTTTGGGAGAGAATGGGGACTTTCTTGTGTCTCAGTACTGAGTCCAGAGGAAATGGGAGAAATGAGCCCCATACCAGGATTGACACAAGGCATCTCCTGCTCTGTGCACCGGATCTTTCAGTGTTGCTGTCACCTCCCTGGGACTCTGGGTGGCTGGGTCAGGGCTGTACCTGGTCCTAGGAGGCCCCTGGTGTTCCTGTGACACAGGGAGCCTTGGTTGTTGCTGCCACACCCAGGAACTGAGTTCTGGTCAAATGCTACAGCGTTAGGTTCTATTGCTTTGATAATATTGGGCCCTTGTCGTGTCTGAGTTGATGTTATGGGCACCAGGAGAGGATGCAGGCCTCAACTCTGAATGTCCTTGTCTGTGGAGAGCTTATACTTCACTAAGGGAAACTCTAATAGGGCATTATCTGAATGTCACACTGCTATTTCTTTTGTATTCCCAGAAATCAGAAGAAATACAGGATCTAGTTTGGGGGGATTTTTCAGAGGAGAGGAACCATGGTACATCTTTTGAATCTTGTAGAAGTCACTACGGTAGAAAATTAAACAATGCCAGCCTTGTGTTTTCTTTAGAAAAAAAAAAAAAGCACAGAATTCGGGTTCTCCACCTGTCATTTTACTCCCTGGATGGATTTGAGATTTTCCTTCATGTTTCAGAGCCTTCTGGTTGGTATCTGCGGAGTCAGGGTGCGATCAGGTGCGAGCACTGGGGAGCCATGTGTCCGTGGAAGACAGAATCATTCAGTGATTTCTGTGTGGTGACCAAGGCAGGACGCCTGTCGCAGGAGGGCCCTGTGTGGGCTGGGAGACATTTTGCCCTGGGATATAGGGGCATGAGCTGCCACCGAGGGTGCATGTTGTGCCCAGCAGTTTGGGGACACAGTTGCCCTGTGGGAGGAGGTGGGCGAGTCAGTGTGGGTGGGTAGTGTCAAGATTGAGTGGCAGCATGATTGTGGCACCTTTTTTTTTTTTTGTACCAGGGATCAAACTGAGGACCTTGCACTTGGGAGGCGGGCGGTGGAACCACTGTGCTAAATCCCCAGCCTCATGGTACCTTTTTTTTTTTGTACGGGGGATTGAACTTGGGACCTTGTGCTTTCAAGGCAGGCAGTGGAACCACTGAGCCAAATCCCTGGCCTCATGGTACTTTTCGATAACCAGAGAGAATTGTCTGTAAGAATGAGCCCATCATCATCTGCCTTTTCCTTGCTGCAAAGGGTTAACAGGCTGGGTCCCATCGCTTACATCCCTGCACAGCATTTTCTCTTGGAAGTAAAAAGTAATTTAGTGCTGCAAACCTGAAAGTCAGGTTTCTTTGGTGGCAGCAGGGACTTCCGATAGATAAATTGAAAAATGATGAAGTTGCAATAAAAAGTGGATGATTTGGCCAAGGATTTAGCTCAGTGGTTCTGCTGCCTGCCTCGCAAGCACAAGGTCCCAAGTTCAATCCCCGGTACCAAAAAGAAGTGGACAACTTGGAGAGAATGGTGGGTGTGGGGCCGTGCAGATTTTGCCTAAGCTATCTTTTCATTTCTCTGGGTGACACTCGCTGAAAGTAAATCCTGTAAGCCTGAGTTTCTGAATGGACCTAAGAACTCAGTAATATATTTTCAAAAAGTCTCTGCAAGGACATCAAGTTTTAAACCACCATTTTATTTGTTTATTTGCCTTTTGAGACAGGGTCTCACTGTGTAGCCCAGGCTGGCTTCGAACTCATGAAGATCCTCCTGCCTCAGCTTCCTGAGTGCTGGGATTACAGGCGTGTGCCACCAAGTCCTA